CCCATGCTTCCTACTTGTCCACACTTCCTGTTTCCCCATGCTTTCATCTGAACTCATTTTCTTCCTGACTGAAGAATTCATTATAGCAGTTCCCTTCTTGGTTTCACTTTTCATGTTGACATGTGGCTGGGGTATTTCTCAGGACCCCTTGCCCTTGGTAGGCTCTGAACTCTAATAGGGTCATTTGGTTCCTCAGCCATTGGGCTGTGCCTCAAGAAGGGAAGTTTCCCAGTGCAGGGCTCTACATTCCTGGATTGGCAGGAACTTGACCTTAATGTCTTCTTTGTATTTCTCTAGGGCCTTCACACAGGTGTTTCGTTAATACTTCAGCCAAAACTTCTTCCGCTAGTTTTTATTCAGGTGTATGTGCATGTTCCGTTATGTATGTGTGCCACATGTGCATGCCCGTGAAGGTCAGAAGAGGGCATCCGTTTTCTTGATGCTGGAGTTCCAGAAGGTTGTCGACCACCCAGTGTGGATGCTGGGACAAATCAGGTTGTCTGGAAGAGCAGTAATGTTCTTAACCTCCGAACCATCTCTCCAGACCCCTAACAGTTTTTTTTTTTAAATTGTGAAGGTATCCTTTGTAATAAGGATATGTCATTATTAAGATTAAAAAGCTGTTTATTATTATTATTATTATTATTATTATTATTATTTTATTTATTTTGAGACCGAGTCATACATAGCCCGGGCTAGCCTCAAACTCACTGTACTACTGAGGATAACCTTGCACTTCTGATCTTCCTGCCTCCTCAAGTACTGGGATTACAGGTATATACTAGCATGCGCAGTTTATGTGGTGGTATGGGTCAAACCTAAGGCTTCCTACATACTAACTAAGCAGACACTCTTATCAACTGAGCTACACACGCAGCCCATTACCTAGCTAGTTTTTGACTTTGTATTCTTAGTGGCTGAGAATGCTCAGTGTGTGTGGAACCTGGAGCACACTGTGCAGCCTACAGGCAGCTCAACAGTTTGGAGAGCGTCTTTCTAGGTGCCTTAGGTGGTCTAACCTCTGCTAGGCAGCTTGGCTGTTTCCACTTCTTCCAGGCGTCTGGACTGGCCTAAGAGTCTTGGCGCTTTCTTTGAGAGTCTTTGCAGCTTGGCTTCATCTGAGAGGGACTGTCAGCTTTTTCTTGTTTGCTCTGGCAGGGAGGAGCCTAGTGAATCTGGTCAGCTTCAGGGACTTCCTGAAACTATTTTGAGTTGTTTGACTTCCTGCTTAAGGAACTTCCCTGAGTGATGAAATGTTTTAGTATTGGAGGAAACGGTTGTATCACACACCTGCCTAGAGGTCCAACTACTCACAATGAGCTGGGCCCTCCCACATCATCATTAATTAAGAAATACAGGACAACCTGATGGGGACATTTTCTCAGCTGAGGTTCCCTCTTCCCAGATAACTCTAGCTTGTGTCAAGTTGACAAAAAACTAGCCATCATACCTATAATCTCAACATTGGAAAGGCTGAAGCAGGAGGATCTGAAGTTTGAGGTCAGCCTCTGCTATGTGGTGGGACCCTGTGCCAAACATGCGTGTGCGTGCGTGCGCGCGCGCACACACACACACACACACACACACACACACACACACGATCGCCTTGCAGCAGTACTTTCCACATTATTTCTGTGTTATATGAATGCCCTACACGAAGTTAGTAGAGATTCTTTGTTAAAGTAATGCCAACATCAAGAAGTTTGGAGCAGTGCACATGGAAATCTGTCCTTGGAGAATCCCTGCACACATGAGCATGTTCAAGGCTCTGAAGTGTGAAAATAAATTTGCTGGACTATAATATTCAGTTATTTATTTATTTGCTTATTACTTATTTATTTTAGGAAATACATATTCCCATGTCATGAGATGCTAACATTCCATAATAAAATACGAGGAAACATTGCCTTAGAGCAAACGCCAACTCACAAATCCTCCCATTGTTGAAGTGCTACCTAGGGCCTCTCCAACAGGGCTTCTCCAAGGATACTTTGAGAGTGTGAATGATAGGTGGTGGGCTTGGAAGCCTGGAGCCCTTCTGCTAGTGAGAGGTTAACAAAAGACAGAATTTGGGGGTACAGCCGTCCATCCCCAGCTCTTTGCTTGTAGCAATGAGAACCTGATTTTCTTTGTGCCAACTCAGCTCACTATGGATCGCCCATATGTGCTGGTGGTGATTGATTTTTGATCTCATGAGACCAAACTCCTTACTTGACCTGCCTTTGGGAGGTCTTCCTGACCCCACTCTGTGCAGGTGAGAGGGTAAAAATATGGCAGAATATACAGAGCTGCTCAGGAACCAAAAGGCCTGGGTTCAAGTCCTGGTGCTGAGTGACCTTGGGAGAGTGGGTGAGAGCATGGGCTTAGATGTCAGACACACTGGGCCCTTGCACTTCCTTCGCACACCGCTTCACCTTCTCATGCTTCAGGCTTCTTACCTTGTGACAAGGAGATACAATAATGCATGTCCAGTACAATGCCCAGAGCAGAGCAGGCACCTGGCACACTCAGCTAACCAGAATTTGGGGAGAGTCTTTCATGTTGCTTGCGGGTCAAATAGACTTTGAATGCAAAACTGTTTTGTAAATTCTTGGCGATGAAGGAGTAGCTGGGCAGTCTTACCTTCACTGCTGCCCACCATGCTGCCTCATCCTGTCTGGCTGGGCAGGGCAGGGGGTGTGGACCACACCAGCCTTCTCCCCTGCTCTCAGGCAGAACCATTTCTCCATGACAGAACATTGGCAAGAAGATGTCCTGCCAGCAATTCATTGCCAACTTGGACCAGCTGAACGATGGTCAAGACTTTGCCAAAGACCTGTTGAAGGTATTATCTGCTGACGTCCTCATGCCCCTTGCCCTGCCCACGTGAATGGAGTAACGTTTGCCCCACTGAGTCTTGGCATTCTAGACCCATAGCACTGCCACCAGGGCCCATCACCCTGGGACACAGTTGGAGACTGTTTAGTTCCTCAGTTGACTGTTCCGTCTTCTCCAAGAAAGATAGACAGTGAGGCTCTCTGCTCTCGGATTTTGGTGCTCCAGTCACCACCATTTCTACCACAGCAATAGCCATCACTACCACCAATTGTTATGGCTGCCACTCACCACCACCTCACCACCACCACCACCACCA